GCAGCAGATAATGGAACACTGCCATCCTCCTCCCCATCTCCATTCACTTCCTCTTTTCCATCTCCATTCACTTCCTCTTTGTTTGGTTCCTCTTCTTCTGGTTCCTTTTTTGCAGCAAATAATGGAACACTGCCATCCTCCTCTGCATCTCCATTCACTTTGCCTCCTGCCTTCGGTTTCAATTTCCCAAGCAAGACCAATTTTGATGTCCCAGGATCATCAGGCCTGACTTCATCGACCGCCACCACTACACCTGCGCCGTCTTTTAGTGGTTTGTTCACTTATCCTCCTACACCTGCAGCCACCTCAACTGCTTCAGCTGCACCAGGTTTCAATTTCGCCTCTGCACCAGCAACATTGCTTTGTGAAAGATGTGGGCATAAAGTGGTTGCATATACCCCATCCCATGAGAGCGATGCAGATGCAGGTAAGATCGAGTCAATATCTGCCATGCCCACCTTTAAAGATAAAAGCCATGAAGAATTGAGATGGTCTGTTTATCAATCACAAGGTACACAATTCCTTTCAATCTTTCTTTCTTTGTGTACCTTCACTTTGCAGGATAATAGTGTTTTAATTCAACTTGAATCATGTTTTCAGGCTGGAATAAGGACTTTCACAAACGAGTTCCAATTAATGCATCAACAACCACTGCTCAACCACCAGTTGTCATCATTCCAGTTATGGCTTTCCCTGTGATGCCTAACTACAACTTTAATGGTTTGGGAACTTCTCCTTGGACTCCAATCTGGGGAGTTTCAGCTCCCTCGGCCAATGGTGCGTTATTTGGACAAGGCAATTCCTCAGGTACAGCAGTTACTCCAGGAGCAGGGGCGGAGGCAGAAAATTTTTTCAGGGGGCGCAGAAAACTAAAATTTTCAAAGTTTATGGGAGGCTAGATAATTTTTCATATATTAATTCGCAAGATTTTCAAATTTCAGGAGTTGCTTCTCTCTGCAACATGTTCCGTCAGCTGTAGGCAAGCATCACAGCAATGAGCATCAAGGATTGCATTCCTTCTGGCACCCCTCATTTTCCTTTTTCTGTTAAAATATTTTCATCTTTTACTAGTGTTCTTGAAGTATTATTTTGTTGTTTTTTATTTTTTTTTTGCGCAAAAGAATTCTCTCATCAAGAGGGGACTGTAAAGGGAAGGGTTACTCCCATTGTGTAAACCATAAATATTTTAGCCAGGCCGGCGTTAGTTTAACCGCTGAAGTTTGAATGTTGCTTGGACGGTCTCTGAAATACCATGTAATTTCCTTTGAATGATGTCTGGTTTTCTGAAAAATGAAGCTCTGAAAATATATATTTTTTTTTAATTAGATGGTAAATTATATAACAAAAATACTCTATCTTTTTCCACACTTATCTTAGGATTGAAGCTTGGAATTGACAACGGATAT